TAGCCGCGCGGCACGGGGTTCGCACTAGCCGGCTTTTAAAAATGGCGGCGCCGGCTTTATGCTAATGAAGCCCGGGAAATTCAAATCCAGGGCTTCATTAGCAAGTTCGGTATGCATACATTACCCCCCTAGTTCGAACTAGGGGGGTAGTGTAGACATACCCTAAGGGATCAGACAGCACATGTAATAAATATACCATATAACCTGTATGCTGTTAATTCATAAAGAAGTGCATTAAGCTGATATTTTCCACACACACAAAAAAAGACTACCCACCACAGTCCATATTTTTCATGAGCACTTAACTGTAGATTACAGATTCTTCTGCAATACATGTGATATAGCAGAACATGTGTTACACAGTGGGATTTTTTTTTAAACTTTTAAAAATATATGCACTACTGAGAGAAAGTTAAAACATCTGATTCAGATTTCTCTTGTGCCAATGTATTGGTTTTACTGTATTGACTTCATTGGGGCTGTTCCTGATTTATACCAATAAAAAAAATCAGAATCAGACCAAGATCTTTTCACCTGTGAGTAAATTATTTGCAAAAAGGAATCCAACTGCGGCCAAAAAAAAATACTAATGTCCTCTATGCACAACCCTGATAGTAGTTGTGCAGAATTTCCCAGGCCAACCCAGCATTTCTCAATACTGTTCTGATCTGGTTGGTTCTCAGGCTAAGTAGTAGTTGATTGTCAATGCATGGTCACTTGACTGGTTTCTTAGACTTCTACCATAGTCACAATGTTGGCTTCAATCCTGCTGGGAATTTCCAAGGACATTCAAATCATTTCACCCAGGCCACCAAAGAGGATTCAGATGCTAAATGACCTTTTCTTGCTTCTGACCCTGGGCTGAACTCAAACCATTGATCCAGCAGTGAGAAGTTTTATATCTTAATACCTGTCCCCAGAGTCACCCAGTCACATAGGTAAATAAAGTTCTAAATGAATACCATTCTATTTTAGTGATTGCTTTTACACTCTTGAAGAGAACCATATAAATATATGAATCTTTAGTAAATAACTCTTTGATATTGCTAGCAAATAGATGGTACTGCAGCTATATAATCAAGACTTCCCTGCACCAAACTAGCAAAAGTTTATTATATCAGAATCACTTCAGTGCTCCTGGTTTTAAGAAACGAATTACTTGAAAAGAATGTAAAATTTTTCTATAATACTCTACAGATCTCTCTAATACCTAAAAGCTACAGAGTTTTTGCTTCCAATATTTCATTTTGAGAAAGCACATAATACCATAGGTTTCCCAAAACCTTTTAAGTCAGAACACACAGTGTTTCCAGGTTTTCATTTAAAAGAGAAAAATAAATGGGGTCTATGTTGAAATGGAAAAATAACTCGTTTACAGACCTTTCTTTCACCTTGTTTTGAGTTCCTCTCATAACCAGCCTGGATTCGTAACAAGGTTTGAAGCCACATTAGACTCAACCTCTAGGATGAGCAGAAGGATACTGCTCAAGATCTAATTAAATGAAAAACAACTGTGTAGTCATACACTGATATTCTTTGATCAAGAGTATACACAAGTGAAAAAGTAGGGCCTCTAGTCTCATCTTTTGTTATCCACAGACTAGGGCAGCGGTACTTCTCCCAGTACTGTGTGACAAATGCAATAACCAGGTCAGCTTGACCTGTAGCAGTTAAGCAGTTTAAACAGAGAAACTGTATTTCAAATTCCAGTGATTCCTCTGTCAAGAATACATTGTCATTATTATTTTAAAGAAACAACATTAGTACAATTAGTACCTCCAGTCATCTTTGTAATTCAAGCTGTCACTTCCAATCAGTGAAATGATGTTGTTCAATTGCAGTGGGACCCTGATAAGAAATCTCGCCTATCAAAGCTGTCCATTTGCCTCTGTCAATGCAAGAGTGTGGGAACTGGCAGACTGACACTGCAAGCCAGATAAGATTGTTTCCTTGATGGAATCATTCTGAGAGGGTTTGACTGTGTTTGACCTGCAGCGGTAACCTCAAGGCTGAAAGGGGACTGCTGAGGGGACCCTGGGTGCCCTTCTCACAGCACAATAATAATGTGGTCTGGACTGGATCTCATCAAATAAAATCCAAGACAAAACATTCATGTTTCTTTTTAGACTCTGACTCTGGCAAATGTTCACGTTTGTTTCCCCTTTTTCATAATCAGCTCCTAATGTAATTCCCTCTCCTCCATCACTAGAGTTCCCAGTGAAGTCAGTCTTGCCTAACAGGTGATTAAAAAGGTTAACAAGCATCAAAGAATGCAGTATTTTTAAACATGAGAGTATTCTAGAAAGTTTTAGGTGGCTTACATGATGGGCACTTACCAAATCCCCTGTAGCTGTGGAGTCAGCTGTACTCCATCTATCCTGTACTGCTGCATGTGAATAAGTGTTTGACTTCTCTGCCCTGTAGAACTTTTTTCAGGAAATACCCCTTCAGATGGGGGAAGAGAGAGACACTCATTATGAAAATTCTTTTAAAAATATGCCTGGATTTCAGATGGGAAACTTGGACAGGTCCTACAATTCTTAACAAGTCTGTTCATCACTAGAATGACACCTGAGCTGGTTCTTTATGGTAGCTTTTTCAGTCCTGAGTGTCTCTCTCTCTTTATTTCCCTGGCTTTTGATCTCCATTTTTCTTCTGTACAAATCTCTCAAGAGGTCCATGTGGGGCGAGCAATCAACCTGGAAAAATTATTCTGTCGTCAGCTTGTTGAGGGAAACCCTTGTCTGCCTAAAAAAGGAGAGAAAGAGTGAGAGACAAGCACTGAGATAGGATCAGTAGCTAAATCGGCAAGGTTATCCATGTCCCATTGTGAGAAATGTCTAGCCTTTTCAATTCTGGGTTAAACTCATAAAAAAAATAAGCAACATTTCATGTTGCGATGAAACACTGATATGGGGGTGTCATCATGAATACGGAGTGTCATCAGAACTATAATTACCCAAAGCACATCAATGCACACAAAGCTTACTGCACACAAAGGCAAAGATCAAGCTGCTAGAAACTGAACCTGCCGCATAACATCTACTCCTGTAGTTCTAGAATTACTTTTAAAAGCACCTTGGCGGTGGGGGGTTCGCCTTGCTTTGGTTTTATTTGGAACAGTCCACATCTATAAACCATTAGTACTCACTGGGTAAGGCAATGGTAACCTGCAGTTCATGGCACCATACGAAATGTTTGAGTGCAGTGTTTTTTGAGGGATGGAGGGCTTATTTTTTTAAACAGAGCAAAGCCTTGCTTCTGTGATTGCTGTGTGTAGGATAGCACTCTAAACATCCAAGCATATTGTGTAGGCTTACATGCATTACACAGTTTGCATTATCTTTTTTTTCCAGCTGTCATCTCCTAAGTGTAGTAATGCAGAAGCCATGCCGTGTTAAGGTAAAGCCTTTGCATCCTGCTTGTAATTATCTTTCTGATACCCCCAGTCTTTAATGACAACCGCAGAAACAGGAAATCATGTTGCCTCGAAACAGCAAGAACTCTGTTATGCCATATAGGTCTAATCCATAATAAGGAGTGCCACAGTGCTCCAGAAGGAACAAGTATTCTCCTCAAGGCAGAGCTGTGTGGGCACTACCATGTCCCTATGTCAGGTACAGATTCCTCTACCCCTACTCAGCCAGCCAGCTCCATGAGTCAGTGTGGACGCACAAGAGGGCAGTGTGGACACGCGACAGGGGTTTCTTGTGCAAGAAAGCCCTATGGCTAAAATGGCCATCAGAGCTTTCTTGCACAAGAGAGCATCCACACTGCCATGGATACTCTTGCGCAAAAGCACATCTCGCACATGGCAGTGTGGACGTGTTCTTGCGCAAGACTTCTTGCACAAGAACCCTTGCACAAGATGTTCTTGCACCAGAAGCCACCAGTGTAGACATAGCCCCAGTGTCCTGTCCTCCATAAGCACATGGTGCACTGCCAGAGGAATCTGGAAGAAGCAGTCCCTGTGCTCCTCCGGCTGGCCCTGATGTGGGTCATCCAACACAGCACCCATAAGAGATGGGCAGAATCTAGCCCTTACTGATTCACTGGAAGCATAGAGGATCAAATATTGCCATCCTCATTTTTAAAACTCACTGGC